CGGCGGGGGTGGGAGTGGGGGTGGCTGTCACTGCGGGTCGCGCCCTCCCTGCCCCGCTCTGTCCGACCTCTGGGCACAGCTTGTGCTGGTTGTGTCGGCAGAGAGCGCCTGGCTGGTGCTGCAGCGCAGCCCGCTGGCCGCGGCGTGTGCGTGACAGGACATAACCTTCTCTTGTAAAGGTGAATATTGGTAGGAGAGAGGCTTTTCTATCACAGGGTTGGAGCCTGGGGTCTAATTTGCTTGGAGCTTTTCGGCAACGATAGTGTTAGTGCTGCTCTCCAAGTTTTCTCATGCAACGAAGTCTCTGTGCTTGCCTTCATGGCCTGGAGTCATCTTCAAGAGTTACGGGCTTTGAAACTGTGTCCTGCATTCCAGTCATTTTCTAAAAGTTAAGGACGGTGAATCTGTTCTGTGCTACCTGATATGAGTTAAAATGGGAAACTTTGGCTCAAGGAAGACTCAGGTGCTTTGTGAAAATGGAGCCTTAAAAGCTATCATTTTCTTCCAGTCCTTCGTGATCTCACTGAAAATGTTCAGCTTCACATCTGATTTCAAAGTGAAACTTACTATTTTTATAGTTCTCCAAGGTGCATGTAAATAGAGCATGCATTTTTCAGCCTCATCAAGTGACTGGTAAGGTGCATTTCCTTGTCCATGCAGCTGTCCTGGTTTTGTTGAATGCCAGTTACATCTGGCTGAACTGGAGGCAGCTGAAAAAGGAGCTGGGGAGCCAAGTCTTTGTTTTTCTCAGGTTTTTTGTCAGAGCTTAGCAATCATACCTTTCCCACACCCAAATCAAAAATTTTTATTCCCAAGTCTTTATGATTATGCTGGGAAGTCTGGAGCCAGAATAATTATTGAAGTTGTGGGGGGCTGGTGTTGCTGAAGTGCATTTATAGACACTGGAAGCCCTGGGTCTTCTTACCCGCTTCTCTGGCACAGAAGGTTGACATAGGTGCGCCATGAATGTAGTGACTTACAACACAGTAATGCTTAAGTTTGCTTTACTGCATGTCATCACCAACCTCTGAAACAACACAAAGTCCCTTGGCTCTTTGTTCTGTTTCACTTGTTGCCTCCCTATTCTTCCTGTACAGGAGATTGTTCTTTTTAAGTGTATAAAAATAAGATTATGCTGTCTGCAAAGTAACAAACTGACCTTTTCCTCTAGGTATGGGACATGGAAGTGAGCACAGCCATGGCCATGGCCATGACAAAGTGGAACTCCCTGACTACAGGCAGTGGAAGGTGGAGGGGACTCCCCTCGAGGAGGTGCAGAGAAGGCTGGCTAAACGAGGTCTGAGGGATCCGTGGGCTCGGTAAGTGCAAGAGCCTCAAAAATCACCTTGGTGCATCATCTTGTAGCATCAACCTTGTGATCTTGTCATTGTAGATCATTCTTTCTTTGGTAAAAAGTGGAAATTAGTCAGAATTCACTTAAGTCTTTATTTACTTTTTGCGTGAAGGTCACACCTTGCATTACGTTGACCAGCCTCCACATCTTGCAAGGCAGCCTTGCACTTTGTGATGTTTCATGCTGAGACAGATCAGGCACAATGACCAATACCTCATTTATCAGAACATCTAAGTAGTATTTGGTCTGCACACGTGAATAATCCTATCCTTCTCTGTAGAGAGATTGTGTGCTCGGGTCTTGATGAAGATGATGGAACTTGCACTGACATTCTGGGTAGGAATAGCATTCCTCATACACAGCAGGAAGCCTTTATTTGAAAAGAAGAAATGTACATGTATACAGCATGGAATTGCATTCAACTGTGAATGACATCATGGAGAATCAGCTTTTTACTTCCCATGCTACCACTCTACAGTGAATATCCCCTCCTTTTTAGGTATTTAGGCAGCTGTTAAAACAGGGCTTAATGTATTTCTTCCACGACAAGAATTATGCAGTACTTTGTTCAACCACCCTTTCATCTTGGGGAATGAAAACACCAAATGTCTTGTGCTAAATAGTCTGGCCCTTCTGTAAGGGAAAGGCCACATGAGCAAACTGTTCCAGTAGTCTTCATAGAAAAGGCTTTACTGTGAATCACTACAAGGAAAATGGAAGAGCAAATAGGTAATCTGTTAAAAAAGTTGTTAAATAACCTGTGGAGGGGTTTGAGGCTGACAGCACTGTTTTCATTTCTTTGGAATAGTTTAAAGATGTAAGCATAATTCATACTTTTAATGATAAGAATAATTTGAAATACCAGCCTTTAATGAATTTTCTAGGCCTGTGTCACATTTATCTTGCCTCTATTTCTGTGGAGTGCAAGCAGCATAAGTTTGTTTTCCCTTTGGTTCAAACAAAATTGTTTTCAGCAAGCAATAGGCTTGTTCCCAAAAAAAAAAAAAAACAAAACCAAAAAAACCAAACAAAAAACCAAAAACAGTTTAATATTGGAGGTTTAGTGTAAACTACCCTGACCTTTAATACCTACACTTTCAATTTCAGGAAGGGCTGCAAAAGAACACACTGGAAAAGACACCATAATATTTGTTGTCCCTCCAAGATAAGAGAAAATTTTTGTTTCTCTGGTAAAAGAAGGGGATTGAGCCAATAATTGCGCCCATCATCAGGGGTCAAATAAGGAAAAAAGTGAAACCCAAGGCATGAGATGATTCCTTCTGAACTTTTTTAATTTTACATAAAGTAGTACATCAATTCCATAGGAGAGTACAAGTATCATGCCACTCGTCCTTAATAAATGAGAACTTAAAGTATCACACTACTTGCTTCAGTAGTGTAGCAGAAGATTGAATTATTAATGTCTTGCACAAGTCTTGAAAAAGTCTCCCTCTCCAGAGCTCCCTCCCCTTTGGTATGCTGAGTTCATTTTAACAGGGAATCTGCTTTCAACCTTTATGGCAAATGCATATTAATGTACATATTAAATACAAAATAAACTTTGTGAAAGATGTCATAATTGTAAACTTTAAGTCTGTATCAATTAGACTCTACACTGGCACCTAGAAGTTATTCCATGCCGATATGCTTTCATCCCAAGCCACAAAATCCATCTGCACAAGAGGATTATCTGTGAACACAAATATCTACACCCCTTGCTTAAACCCCCATCTCTTCTCCCAAAATCACAGTTCTTATTTTATTGCTTGGTTCTTTTTCCTTTTAAGGACTTTTGAGTCCTTACAAGAGACAAACTACACCCATCTCCATAGATCACACTGGTTGTGCTACAAATAAATAAATATTTGTAGTCAGAGCAGTGACTAATGTTTCAATAACAATAGAGGTTGAAAACAGCAAGGCACAACAGTGTGAAGTTTGTACATACTCTGTAGCTCAAGCTAAACACCATATTTTCCGTCTTTCTTTTTAAAATCATCTGACTCTTATATAGTTAAGTGTTGTATTGTGTGTCTCCACACTAAAATGTCTGAAGATTTGACTGTGTTACATACTGCCTAGTACAGTGACTAGCCTTTGTAGTTAGTCCAATCCATACAAGTGCTAGTGGGCTGTGATTTGTTACAGAGTAAAAACAGAAGAATACAATTACATTGTTTCAGGGAGGTGATTCTGTTCATATAATTGTGTGGTTTACTGGCAGTACTTGTATCTCAAGTTACGTGATAAGGGTTAGAGTTCATATCATAAACTTTACTTGAAATTCCTGATGCTTAAATGACAGAACATATTGTACAGCTTCAGTGTCTATCTAATTGAAATACCTTCATCATTCTTTTATATATGTATGTATATATATATATATTCTTGTTCAGTTGTATTGCAGTGGCTCCAGTGACCTTTTTTCTTTTTTCTTTCCATTTTCCTTTCTAGTAATGAAGCCTGGAGATACCAGGGCAGCTTTGCAAGACCTATCACCATAACAGAAATCTTTACCAGGGGACTCAAGTGGGGAGCTGCAGCTTTCATCATAGCTCTGGGCATTGAATACTCACTGTTTCCTCCAAAGAAGAATGGAGGCCACCACTGAAGATCAAATATGACAACTTAATACTAATCATAAACCGAAACTTACATAAGCCTGTTGCTCATTCTGTACTTACAACCTGCATATTAAAGTCTACCACAGGCAGACCCATGTTTCTTTGATTTTATTAGACTTTTGTGGAAGGATCAAAAAACACAGCCAGAGCAATTTAACTGGCTTTGATCTAGGGAAAAAAACCAACCCAAGATGGCTGGGTTTGCTGTACTATCCCCTAAAGAACTAGATAAACTATGAGACCAGCTCTTCCCAAGCTTGCCAAGATTCTTTTAAATAAACTGAGAAGTTTGTTGCTTTTAAGAGAAAATTTTTCCATATTTCCATATTTATTTTAGGTTTAATAACTATTATTTCCCAGTAAGTGGTAATGAATGACTTGTCACTTCTTAGAAGTGTTTGTTACTATTCGCTCTTATTTCTCTAAATAAAAATAAATATTAACTTAAAGCTTTAAAACCAACTCCAGGCTGCCTCAAAGTATATGAAAGTACCAAAGCTTATACTTAACCCTATTGAACAGTTATTTAGCCTGGCAGACACTATGCACCAGAATAATCTGCTGTGTAATATCCAGACATCAAAAATTACACTGCTACCAAAAGTAGAATAAAATGTTCAACTCAGCAGTAACTGTACCTTATCCTATAATGTTTTCTAGCTTACTTGACTGTAATGTGAAAAAAGAGAAAATTTTTTTCCTTTACTCTAGTGTATTTATAGATTCATTTATTTTTTGCATCTACTCTCTTTTAGCAATTTGTTTTAAATGTCCTGGTTTTTCTTAAATTATCTTGGCAGCTTCTGGAGTGCTGTAAAAATGCCTGGACTGGAGACTATAGTAGAAAAGGACCTGTGAGCAGTATATGTCCTCTGCAGTACCAGGAATTATAATTGTCTGAATATCCTACTATCAATTTTGTTATGCCATTAGTTGCAAAGTAAGGAGGATATATTATGTAGTTTTTCAATCCAAACAACAGGACACCTGTCACTAAAATGAAAAGCAAAATTAGACAAGTGAGAAATGGTAAATGCCACTAAACAATTACATAGTGTACTTCCATGGTGAAGAAATTGAAATTTTTAAACATTCTGTCACAAATTGCACAAGTTGAAGGTCCTACCAAAACATGGCTAAAATATCTATTTTTTAAACATACATATTCACAGACAATGCTTTTGAGTGAGATTATAATAGAGCTTTATTTTTAGAGCCAATAAACAACATCTGTTACTGTGTGAGTGCGGATGTACTGTTCAGTGGAGCTTGTCATCTTTGTATGACATTGCTCAAGGTACTGTTCAGAGTGCAAACACTAATTTTAGTAAACTCTTGCCTAATCCTTTTCTCAAACATTCCTATCCAGTTGCATCATTCCCTGAAAAACAAGCCAAGAATCTACTCTGTAAGGTATGTTGCACAAAACATTTCTGTTGTCCTTCAGGTACTCCTACCCAGAATACACGTTTTCAAAGGCTGGTACTCACTGCTTGTTTTCTGTCTGGTTCCAAGACAACTTTCTAGGGAGTACTGAATTTCAGATGGTTGTTCAGGAAAACAACCTTTATTTTATTACAATGGTAATAATTGCTACTGTGTTACTAATGTTAATAATTAAATGCAGTAGAATTAGTCTTTTTTAATTGCATAAGCCCTCCAGTGATACAGAAAATGTATCAAGCATATTCAGTTAGACTAGACTTGTTTTGGTAAAATTTATGCATTTCTGAATTAAGGTGGTATCATGTGGTGGTTTAATAGCCAGATGGCAGCCACTGCCCTAAATAACTGTCTTTAATTTACGATGAACATCTTTTGCTAATCTTGTAGAATACGTCTCATCATTGTTACACATACAATACTCATAAAGATTGTCTTTCACAGGTATAATAATACCAATTCTACCTGGGAAACAGAGTATTTCCTGTGTATTAAAATAATAGTACCAAATGTGTCTTCACTGTAACCATAGTAATGGCTGTGCTTATATTAAAACAGCCTTTCTACCAGAATAGATATTTTACAGTGCAAAAACCAGGGTCACAAACAGCAGTGGCACCAGCAGGCGAGGAACATATGTGATTGTAATACCAGTCAAGCAGCTCTTTTTGTATCATAAGGTCTGAAAAATAAAACTCATGATGCTCCACTTTCTGAAATACAGGTAGAAATCTGTATGGAACAGATCCAAGGAGCAATTGTGCATATTGACTCACAGTAGGTAGCTGGTTTCCTTCTGAATCAGCTACATCTTAATAGCGGGGACACCGTGATAGCCTTGAATGATTGATATTACAGTGAGAGCCTGACCATACAATTTCAGTAAGAATACAAGTGTTTTTCAGAACACAGAGCTGCCACTTGGTACAAATTCTAGTGTGGGCGAGTATTTTCTGTCTCCTTTTTCCCTGCAGTTCCAAAGACAGCGTGACTCTTCATGTGTGCTATCCCAGAGTACTGCGCTTCCACTGCTGTTTTTAGCAGCACCAAAAAAAGTGACTCACTCTTTCGTAAATGCTTTGAAATCCATTGAGCTGGGAGCTATATGTGTCTGATTTCACCATATATGGAGATGCCTTTTGTCTAGTTCAGCAGAAAAACTTTAGATTATAGGCCTTTTGAAGAGCAGCTCCAGCTGCAATGCTAGCATCCCGCAGCATGAAAGTTGCTCGTTTATATCAAGGGAATAGCAACACGCAGTTTTCAGGAACAAGGCCTTACGCAATATTTACTTAAGATTATACAACGGGAAGCATGCAACTTTCACACAGCTGTAATTATGCTCACTGTGAACGAACAAATTGAGACACGAGGCATACAAGGGGTTACGGCTAAACTCCCGCTAAAACACGCGCACACACTGACCGCAGATCTTTAACCTCACCGAAAACCCTGCTACTCCTTCATAGCTCGCAGAGCCAACACAGCCGTTCTGTCTGTCCCCACACCAGCAGTGGGACAAAAACACAGCCTCACAAACCGAACCCACGCTGAACTCGGCACCGCGCCGCCGCCACGGCCTCGCCTCACAGCGCTGCCGCCACCAGAGTGGCCGAGGGAGGTGCCGGGAAGGCCGCAGGCCCTGTCCCGCCTCCAATCCGGTGAGAGCTGGGCGGTTCTGTTCGCTCGGCCCCGACTTCTGTCTCCAGGGGTACAGCGGAAACAAAACTAAAACCAACACCCTTCAGGGCAGCTTGTGGGCCGGTACCGCCCCGCCTCCGCCCTGCTCCAAACGCCGGACCGGGCTGCGGTAGAGACTTCCCCGACGTGTCTGGGTGCGTTATACCTTCCTCCCCTCCTCTACCCCTCCTTTCCCTCCCACTTCTCACCCTGAGCATCGTCCCGTGCTCCGGGGCCGGGTTCCCGTCCCTGTTCACGGGGAGAGGCGTCCCGCAGAGCCGCAGCGTCCGGCGCAAGCGGGGCCTGAGCTCCACCTGTGCTCCTGACCGAACCGAAACCGAGTGAGATATACAACGACGTACTTAGGAAGATGACTGGAAATCTGCATAAACCACGTTTAGTAGTTGGGGATTTTTTGGTTGGTTTTAGTTGTTTGTTTGTTTGTTTGTTTGTTTTGTTTTAATTAGGAGGACTGGGATGTTAAAACAAATGACTCTGGCCACACTGGTTTATATCAGCAGTTATTCAAGTATATTCGAGTATATTCAAGCGTAGTAAGGAACGCGATGGTTCCTGCGGAAATTCCTTGGTTTCCTGCGTACATTGCGCAAGTCCTGTTAGAGGGCGTGAGGCAGTGAGGAAATAGGGAAATTTGAAAGCTGTGGAGCATGCTCTGTAACTTTGAAAAATGCCAGATGGCCCTGGCTCCGAGTGCAGGCGTTCCCCCATCGCCGTCTCTTCAAACAGTGCAGAGCAGAGCAAGCACAAAGCACAGGCGGTGCCGCCTTCTGTTCTCTCCTCCCAGCACGGGGCCTTCCACACGAGTTCGTCTTGTGGAAGAAACAGAATTTCCCAAATCAGAACGACGCCCACTGGTGTCATATCCTGGCTTTGTTGCTGCAAAGATGATTGTTAAAGGTTCAAGATACAAAATGCCAGCAAGGAGTTAACTGGAGCCTTGTGCATCTTTGTATGAAATTTTAGTATGTTATTTCCTGCTCCTTTGAAAGGATGTAAAAAAACAAACAAAAGCCTAATTAGATATTCTCATGAACACGAAAATTATTAAGGCAGCTTTATCTATGATGACTATGAACTTTTTTATTTTGTCTTAGAAGATATGCTGATTTTTCTCTCCTCTTTGTAGAGAATTTACATTCAATAAGTCATCTTGTTACAAAGCCCAGATAATCAAAAGCTAGGCTGCTGGGTTTATGTTGTGATTGCTTTTTTATTTCAGCTTCTGCAGCTGTGATAATTGTATCTGTGATGTTTGAAAAAGTCATCATCAGATGGAGGAGTGGAACATGATATCCTTAATCTCTTATGATGGAGTGGATCAGGCTAAGATTTACACACACGGAATGTATCAGGATTACCCCGGTCCTGTGACATTCCTGCATCAAAATACAGGCACATGGCTTTAGGATGAAAAGTTACAAACTGTTTCAGTTTATACTAAAAAATCGATTCCCCTTGCTCTTACTCATTCCCTATGCAGTGCCCAATGAATGTATATGCACAGCTGGTTTTCCTTTTATTTAGAGCATCATTTCTGGTTCACTGCAGTCATACAGAAGAATTACCCTTGGTCATTTTCTTTGGTTTTCCCATCCCCATAAAATTAGGAAGAAGGCCCCTCACAGTAATTCGTGATCTTGGTATTTGTCCAGCAGAGAATGACTTGATGTAATCACTGGGAAATCCTGGATGAAAAACAATGTGTGCTGGATCTGGATCAGTGATTTGGCAGTGGTCAAATGCTGGTTTCCCAGTCTTCTTAGGAACAGATTTACATAGATAAGTAGTAAGATAATTTCAACACTGAGAGTATAATCAGCATTTTTTTTATAGTGGGCATGTGATGTACCATATATAGGGAAATTCATGAAAGGAGATGATTCATATGTGTGTTTTAAAGGCAGATTATTTCTAAGTTAACATACAAATAGTAATTTTGCATGCCTGAAATTCCAGCTCAGTAGGAAGTTCCTCCCTAACACATACCCCGCCTCTATTTTTTTAACTAGTTTTAAAAGATTAGCTAAAAATCAAGTGGAATAGTTAAAAAGTTTTTCTGGTATTTCCAAAAATGACGAAAAGCTGTTCAATTCTTGTTTTGCTTTAGAGTTAACTTTGAGTTCTTTTGAAAGTCCCAGCTGAATGTACCTGAGAGATACTTTCATATGAAGGTGCTTTGTGCCTCCCCCTTCTTGACTGCATTATGTCATGAGAACAGTGTCATTCTGTAGAATTCTCACAAGTGTTTGACACTAGATTGAAAATAAGTTAGCAATAAATATGCTTTTCTTCTGATAGAAAACTTTCTGAAACACATTACAGTACATGAGGGGTTCTTCTGTTTTAGATGAATTTAGATGAATTTACCTGCTTAATTATGGACACAACATGTGACATTGTTGATTGTAACTTCCAGAACGTGTAACAAAAGGATGAAAATCTTAGTAAGATTTTACTCTGTAAAAAAAATCTTACTCAGGTGCTAGAATCTTTTGGTATATTAGGCTTTGAAGTTGAATTGGTGTTTGCTTTCCAGTGGTTTAAATAAAATCCTGCAGTATAGTGATCAAAATTCTGTGGAAGGGCTAAGATTTGTCTTTAGGTTTGCTCATCTGCTGTTTCTCCATGTATGTAATGGAGATCAGAGGAGGTTAGATAGAATTTCATTGAGCACAGCACCCTACTGATTTTGTTAATCACAGGGCTGGGGGTTTTTCTAGGTTTGAATTTTTTTATTCCACTTTCCAGTATAATGGTATATGAATGTTTAATGAAAAAAAAGGTGGTCTGTGGCTTATCTATACCTTCAGAATTTACCAATTTGCATATTTAATGTTGGAGTATTTTCTTTGAGTGGCTTTTCAATCTCTTTGAGCATGGAGGGTGTGTGTGGAAAATCCTTTTAACCTCAGACTGGAATCACTTTAAATGATGTTAATAATAAGAAAATCCACACAGTTCTGAATTTACAGATCATTAGTGCTTTAAAAATTACGTGTTATATTGTTGCTTGGAAGAGGGCAGAGTTTTCAGAAATACTTAATCTACCACCCACCAGCAAGCTGATGACTTTTGTTTCACTTCCTATGGAATATACAGACTCATATGAAGGTAATTTACTCTAAAAGGAACTTGCATTTCTTTCTGATTAAAATGACCTTCCAAATACTTTTAGTTTTGTAATGAACGACTGGGAGAGTCCCTTGAATAAAGGAGGTCTGTAGCATGTGTTGGAGTGTTAATTGAAAGTGAAATACTTCAGATAGGAGAGTTAACTGTGAACTTGTGCAGGAGATCACTGATTTATTGCCTTTTAATTCTCTCCCACAGAACTGCCCTTGTAAAAATGCACCTAGTTAAGAATGAACACAAGAGAAGGGCTGTGGTAGACACAGGCTTCATGCCATGTTGCTTTCCAGTTTAAAAACCAATAGACTGGCAATTTTAAAGGAACAGCAACAAAGTGATGACCAGGTGCCAAGTTCCAGCTTTCCTTATTCATCAGATTCAAGAAGAATTGGATAAAGAAGAAGAAGAGATGATGGTTTTCCTGTGCCGAGATCTTGCTCCTGATTTGGCCACTGCTGATCTTAAAGAGATCTTGGTGGCTTTGAATGAGAGAGAAAAACTGACTCCTCTTGGCTTGTCTGAGCTGTTGTACAGAGTTAAGAGGTTTGACTTGCTGAGGAGGATCCTGAACACTGAGAAAGCATCAGTGGAAGCTCACCTTGCCAGGAGTCTCAGACTTATCCCTGATTACAGGTAATGTATCTATTTCAGATTTTAAAGCTGTGCTATTTTGTTCAAAATAAGTGGGGTTTTTTTTTCCCTCTGTTTGGAGGGGGGACAGTATGGGTGAGTTGGGTTTTTTTATTAATTTTTTTAATACTTCACGGATTCAGAGCATATTTGTTGAAGGTAGAAGAAAAGCAGAAAAGGACATTATATCTAGAGTTATAGTTAAAAGAATATGTCAAGTTTAGTCCCTGAATTAAATTTTAGTAGTTTATTACTAGTCACGGCATTAGAAGCATCTGTATTTAAGGAGTTTGTGCATAAAGCCAGTGATGTTTGTAGAGTTCTAGATTAGCAGCTAAAAATGAGACTTTAAAGGAATATAATCAGTTAGAGATATTTTCTATTCTACTTTGCTTTGGGCACATAGCCATGTGGTATAGCATTTCTCAAGGGACCTCTCTGTTACTCATTTTACTCTATTAGTTTTGAGAGGCTTAAATTAAGAAATTCCAGTTATTTTATTTGAGGGACTTAGAAAGAAATCCATGTACTCATAAGGAAGATTTCCCTGTATTAAATTCTTACTAAAATAAATACCCTGTAACTAACAGGTAAAAAAGTTAAGGATGTGTTCTGTTGTCTCATTTCATCTCTATTAAACAATAAGGAAACTTTTTTTCCTAACACTGTTACACTATTACACAGTCAGTCTGAAAAACACAGGTGTAGATTAGCAAGAGTAGGTATTTTATTTACTGGATCTTGAAGCAGGATGGGTTTTTTACCTGTTTATTAGTTAGAAATGGTAGATTAAGACTGGAACTTGGGGAGAAGTTCAGTAGTTGGGAAAGGGAGGAATCTTGCTGCAAGCTAATCCTTTAAAAATATCTCGACTTTATTTCAGGGTACTAATGGTAGAGATAAATGAAAATCTGGAAAAAGATGAAGTGGGTTCTCTTGGTTTTCTACTCAGAGATTATGCACCTCGTATGAAAATGGCAAAAGATAAGGTATGTTTTCCTGATGGCATTCTCTGGAGCAAAGAAACATTAAAGTAAAAAAATAAGTAGCTAGACAGCAAGGAAAGGAGACAGTACTGCAAGGATTATTGAGGCAGGAGTATACAAACATTAGGAAGCAGAGAAGAAGTTGTGGCTTCTATTTCATTTTGTTAATTTTTAATTCAAGGAAAGAAGCATGATAAGCTAGTAAAAAAGTAATGGAAAAGTAGTAAAAAAGTAAGAGGGAACAGTGCATGTTATAATGTGTGGTGGTTGAATGAACTTCATGGACAGAAGACATTTTAAAGAAGTCTTCAGTATTTCTGATCTGAAAGTTCAGATAAGAATGATCTCAAACCAATAACCATTTGAACTGTGTATTGAATTACAAGGTCACTTTTTGTTAGTGCTGTGCTTCACTCAAAAAAGAACAGATGTATTGTAATTACGTCTTTATACCTTTGCATTCTGAATATTTTTCTCAATTGCATTCTGAATATTGTTGTATTTTTCTGAATTTGCATTCTGAATATTGTATTAAGTGCTTTGAGAAAGCAGAAATTCAGTAGAGAAGATTCAGAAACCTTGACCACTGTGCAGAGAAGACTTAAGATTTGTCTTCTTCCTTTGAGTTTTTTTCCCTTTTCTATCTTCAGTCAGAGGAGAGAGGCACTGAAAATTTCCCAGAGCTTTTCTTGCCTCTTGCTTTGTGGCATGTGAGGTGTCATTCCCAGTGGCTGGCTTTGTAGCAAAAACAAAATGCAAAACTGTTTCCTCAAAAATTTAAGATTGATTTTTAAGAATATCACTCTGTAGTTGCTATTATTCCTGTGATAATATCAAGGATTCATATGTCTCTCAGATAATTTTCATAGAAGGTGTAATGTCTCTAATTGTTTATACAACCTTTATGACCTTTCCATGTATTTTCTGGGTTGCTTTATTACTTCTAGTGGAGAAAAAATATTAATGTGTTTGAGTTTATGTTGCTATTCTAGAGTTTTCTAGCTCTTATCGTTGACCTGGAAAAGCTAAATTTGGTGGCTCCCAATCAACTGGATTTGATAGAAAACTGTTTTCAAAGTATTCACAGGATGGACTTGATCAGGAAGATTCAGAAGTACAAGCATGAAGGTAAGATGCTCTTTTTGCACTGGTTACTCTTGATAGCAACAATCAGATGTGCTGAAGATAAAACTGTGACTTAAAAATAAGGGCATTTGCATTCCTCATAGATTTAGATTTTTAAAACCATTGAAATATCATGGTGTATTTGTGTTTCTGTTAAATTTGCAGCTTCAGTGTCCTCCATTCATTCTCAGCCAGTATATGTAAATGCTCATCAGGCCTCTCTCCCTAATCTCAATCTGATTGATCCTCCTTATCATTCAGGGGTAAGTATACAAGAAGTGAAACAAATCCTTTATTTCTAAATATTGCCAGACTTTAAAAGGAGATCCATCTTTCAGAACCTGAGGAATGAGAGATTGCTAGTGACTAAAATATTGCTTGGTTTATTTCTGTTATTCCTGTTACTTGCTGAGTTAGGATTTGATTTAAATCTTCTGACTGAGAAAGATGGCCCTTTAAAGGACTTGTGTGAATTTTTTCCTATTAGTTGAACATATAAAATCTGTATCTTGGGAGTCTTTCTGTACTACACTGTGGAGTGAAAATTTTGCTTTGACTGTTCTTTGCAAAACATATTCTTCTTCTTTGTACCTCTGGACCTTTCAGGGAAAGTAGCTTTTAATTTTTGAAGCTGAAAATTACAGCTTTTTTAAGAAGAGTTTTTCAGGGGGTTTTTTTATGGCTTGTTTTAAACTCAGTTTTAGAAGATATCACAGTATCTGAAAAGTCATCAAATCCTATTGCATGCAGTATTCTTTATATTTGGGTTAGCTCTGATACTGTATTAGGATGACCTTTCTTGAAGTCTTTCACCTTGCTAAATTTGTTTTTATGTGTTCACTAAACACATAAACACATGCAGCTCCCTTCTTCTGTATAGGAATCAAAGCTCACATCTTTAGAGGTTTTTCCTTGCTGTTCATGACAAGCAGGTGATTTTTTTTTTGAGGAGGAGGAACAGTTGGGTATTTATTTGCCTATAATCTGGGTAGGTTTGTTTTTTTTTTTAATTTGCTATGTTGTTATTCTATTTAGCTGATAGAAATGAATAAAATATCCTTTTATTGAGGAAGAAATACTACTGTGTTTTGTTTTAGAGCACATTTGTTAGTTCTTGAAGGAAAATAGGAAAATTACGCCTTTTTCTTAATTTCAGATTCAGAATGAGAACACAGAAAGATTACAAAATGGATCAAGTCTTACTCTGGGTAAGAGCATTTTATCTAAGTTTTGATAACCTAAAAGAGCCAAATGATGAATTTCATTACATCAGAAGGCCTGTTGTTTGATAGTTGTGTTCCTGGCTAATCCTATTAATAACATCAGGAGCAGAGAGTGCTTCATACCTCTCAGAACTGAGCCTGGCCTTACTGTTTTGTCTTGTATTTGCTGCCACATCTTAAAACATTCTTAAAAATTGTAAGCTACTGTCAAATCTTCTTAACAGAATAAATACTTTATTAGTAAAACCATGGATAATATTGACTAGCCAGCTCTGGAGGCCTGTGTAGTGCAGTTCTGCCCATTAAGTCTGGAGTAGGAAGTTTTTGTGTCAGCTCAGCAGTGAAATCCCCACCAGGGCTGCCAGGAAGTTGTGCATTGAATACCAGGTTCTTTCCATGTGTATTGTGTTTTCTCTGAAAACACCAAATACATCTCAAATATGGTGATTTTTAAAATTAGTTGGCTGAATTCTTTTAGTGTAGAAGATATTCTTTGTTTCGTCTAGTCCTAAGCAATGTAGAATGAAATCCACATAACATTTTAGAGGTGAATAATTTAGGGATTTTGAAATGTTAGTAGCATACATAGAAACCAAGAGGTGCTGATGGGTGAGAACTTTGCTGAGGTAGATTCATTCTTCTTTATAACTGATCTGGTAACAAAAAAATATCACTTGTTCTTAAATACTGAGATTACTTCTGTGTATTTTAACTGCAGCAGAACCAGTTCACATGTCCATTCAGGAGTCGGGATCAGTGCCACATAAGGTATGTGCTTGTGTATATGTATGCATGTAAATAAATGTAACCTCTGTGAGTATTTACCTTAGTTTTCTTTGTGTTTCATTTTGAGATTTCCTTGAGTTGTGTGCAGACAGAACAATGGGTACATCCTCAGCCATAAACAGATTCTGTGAATTATTTTTGCAGAATATATTTTAAATATAAAATATTTGCATCTACTCTGCAAGCAGCAGTGTGCAAAATACATGTATATATGATATGCACACAGAACTTGTACATTTATTAGTGGAGACGAAGTTAAACTTTGGTTCAGACCAGTGGACAGTTGGGGTTCAAACCTCTTGCCACATGCATTAGAAATCACAGAGCTTCTTTGCATGCGGTAAATTTTGTTCTTGCTTCCCTCCTCACACCTTGCTCTCCAGGCAGAAGACAGACATGCTTTGAGTATTCATGATAAGAATGGCCAGCTGCTGTTTTCACTAGTTCTCCTGTAGGTCAGGAGCCAACCTGTAACAAATTGATTTACTTCAAACAATTCTCTTCAGAGGGGAGAGGAATTGTGATAGAGTTATTATGGATTATTTAGGAATAAGGAGGTTGTTCCACTAAACAAAGAAATAAATTTTCTGATAACCAATGGTTGCTTGCACAGCTGAAGAACACAAAAGTTCTCTACATTTATTGTGTTTGCAGTATGAAGCTTGTACAGTTTTAGTCTCAGTTTAAGAATCTTTATGGTAGTGAGATTGCATAACACAAGGACACAAAAACAAAACGTGTACTAGAAATGGAGGGAAAACAATCATTAGTCCATTTCTCCTGATTTTTTGTTGCGTAGATTACAACTCAGTAGATAGATTTCTGTTAGCTACTTGATGAAAAACAACAGAATGTTATTTAATAGATCTGACATAAAATTTGAGAAAATAATGCGGTCTAAAAGTTGAGAAAGAGATGTATTAACTTTATAATTGTTCTTTCACATTTTTCAGATGTCAGATGATTCTTACAGAATGCAAAGTCAACCTTTAGGAATTTGCCTGATAATAGATTGCATTGGCAATGACACTGGTAAGTCTCAGGAATTTGAAGTCCCTTAACTTGTTAATCTTGGATAATTAGAACAGTTTAGTATAAATAATATAATGTACATTTACTGGCCAGGTTAGG